CAGGCCGGCTCCGTCTGGCAGCGGCCGCAGCTTCCCCGGGGCGTGAGGGGCTCAGGGAGGCCACCGGGCAGCGGCTCTGCCAGACGGCCTGCTGAGGCCACCCTGGACCGGGCCAGGGCGTGCCCACTGTGGCTGTCGCGGGCAGGGGCACCTGGACCAGGCCCAGGCGGCGCCAGTGCAGGAGGCCCCCGCATTGCTGGGAAAAGAAAGAGGAAGGGGTGAGAGAGCTCACACGTGCCCACACGGGAGGAACCGGCCCCTGAACAGACACAGACAGACCCCGTGCTGGGCCGAAACCTGGGACCCCACAGCGTGGCTCTGAGCCCTGCCTGAGTGGGGAGGCCCTGTCCTGCCCTGGAGCCCTGTGTGACGGGGACCAGCCCTGCTACGCAGTGAGATTCCCCCCGACTTAGAGAACCCCGCTCTGCACACCACCCTTTCTGCCTCTCAGTACCCTCCCACTCTTTGCTAGGAGAGGGGCAGGGCAGGTGCGGGAGACCAGCAGCGAGGGGGGAGGGCAGCAGCAGGCAGGGCCAGCCCCTGGGGCTCTCCTTCCCGCCCACGCACGCATCGGGACTCCAGGCACGGAGCTCCCGGGTGGGCGGACGGGCACTGCGCTGCTGGCTGCGGCTGCGGCACAGAGCCAGCTCCTGCCGGCGTCCCCGCAGTCCCATCCCCCGCCCCCGCCCCCCCCCCAGCCTGCCTGCAGTGGCACCGACAGCCCAGGGGGGAGGAAGGACGCTGAGAACCAGCCTGGCCGTGCCCCTACTTCTCTGCTGGGGAAACTGAGGCATAGCACAGTGAAAGGCGCTTGTGGGACACGGACAGGAGGCCGGGATCCACCCGGGTGTGACCCGCTGCCCCTCGCCAAGGTCAGAGCGGACACCACCATGCTGCCGACGGCGCACCCCGGGGAGCTGGGGCCCACGGTGTGGGGCCGGGACCGGGCTGGGGGTGGCCATGAGTGCGGCAGGGAGGGGCTGCCAGAGGCACCGCACGCAGGTGGGCTGCTAAACCCTTGCCTCTGCTGGGCCCCGCAGTCCCCAGTCACAAAGCCCCCCCCCCCGAGGCCCTCCTGGAGCCCCCCACCCAGCGCACGTACACACACGCACACGCGCCCCTGCAAGGGCCTGAAACCCATCTATCAAGGATGCCGTGGGTACCACAGTTCCCATAGCAACGCCCGGAGGGTGGAAGAGTAAGGATGGAAACACAAGAGGAACCGGCACGGACGGATCCACAGCCCCAAATCGGAGCCGCTGGGGAGAGAGGGAGCTCTGGAAGCAGCCTCGCCGCCCCCCCAACGGGGGCCCTGGCCAGCGCCGGGCCACGGCCGCCCGGGAGATGCTATCATTTCCCCATTTTACTGGCGAGGAAGCTGAGGCCACTCCGGGGGCAGGACGCGGCCCGGGGCTCCGGGGGCGGGCTCCTGCAGCTTCGGGGTGCCGCACAGCGGGTGCGGGGTCCTGCTGGGCCGTGGCCTCGCGTCGGGGTTCCTGTCTTCCGCTTTCTCAGACTTCTCTGGGACAACCCAGAGCACCACCTCATCACAGGGTGGGCTAACGAGGAACCCCACCTTGGGAAGTAGACTTTTGGGGGCCCATGGGTGAGGAGGCCTTGCCGGGTGGCACTGAGGGGTGCAGGGCTGCAGGTCAGGAGCTGAGCACCCAGCTGTGAGGTGGACGCTTTGTCCCGGCCTGACCGATTGCCGATCCCCTCACCAGCAGGGGAGCAAGCATCCCGGGGAGGGGGGCTGCCTGGAGGAGGCAGCACACACCCTGCCTGCAGGCACTGGAGGCTTGGGGCTGCAGGGGAGAGAGGGGTGGCCTGAGGTGTGACTGAGAAAAGCCTCTGGGAAGCATGTTAGGGTCCTGCAAGGGGCCCCACGGACTGAGGGCCCGGGCTGCCCTCCCCCGGGGTAGGGGGGTGACGGAGAAGAGAGGCCGCCTGGAGATGGGCCTTGTAGGCCGAGACAAGAGGAGCCGAGAAGTCAGCAGGGACCAGAGGAACAAGCGAGGGGCGGTGCCGGGGCTGGGGGCCAGGTTCTGCCAGCCACCGCCACAGGGACCAGAGGAGCGATCGAGGGGCGGCGCCGGGGCTGGGACTGGGTTCTGCCAGCCACCGCCGCAGGGAGACCTCAGGAGACCACCTCTGGCTGAGAAGCCTGCCTGAGCCCCCCACCCCCACCCCGGGGTCCAGTCCAGGCCCAGGAGCTGCAGACGGGACGGTCGGGGAGCCGAGCACAGAGCGGCGGGAGCTGTGGGGTCTGAGTGGACAAGCCTCCCCTCCACCTGGGGGTACTCTGCCACTGGGACCCAGCCCCAGCCCCAGCCCCAGCCCCAGCCTAGGGCGCCCTCCTGGCCTCTGTTGAGCGGCATGGGTGTCTCCTGGCGGGGTGGGTGCGTGAGTGGAGGGGCCCCCAGCCCCCGCTGCCGAGCACGGAGACCCAGGCTGGCGTTCCCCAGCTGGGCGGCATGAGGTAGCAGGGCAAAACAGAGACAGATAATTACGGGAGATAGAGGCTAAAAATAGCCTCCTTGACAGCCCGGCGGGGAAGACGCCAGACAAGCCAGCAGCGGAGGCCCGGGAGCCAGAGCCCCAGAGGACCGCAGCCCCGGGCCAGCCCCCCTCGCCCCGCGGCCTGGCCGGGAGTCGGGGACCCGGGGCTCACGAGGAGGCCCCTGTCCTGGGGGAGGGCCAGGGGTGCCTAAGCCACAGAGGTGGCCCCAAGGTGGGGGAAGGGGCTCTCCACAGAGGGTTTTCACGGATGAATAGGAGCCTGGCAGACAGCAGGTGTTCCCTGCACGAGGGGTGGCACCAGGTGCCTGGCAGCCCCCTGGTGCCCAGGGGGACTCGCAGAGGAGCAGGCGTGGGGACTTCCTGTCCCCATGGCGACGGCTTCCGCAGGTGGTCTCAGGCCAGGCTGGGCGAGCTGGGCGGGGCCAGCCAAGGCACCTGCTGTGCACAAGGCTCCTCCCCCCACATCGGAGCTGAGCTCAGGGTCGGGCCATGGACCTGGGCAGGGACTCGGGGCCAGGGCAGAGCTGGTGTGCCCGGAGCAGGGCGTGGGGACACAGGGTGGCAGGAGCCTCTGAGCTCCGGCCAGTGGAGCCAGGGCCTGTGAGGGCAGGAGCACATGGAGCCGGCGGCACGGGCAGGCCGGGAGGGCAGCTGTCCCCGGCCACAGCCCTGCCATCCCAGGGGCCCCAGGAGGCTGGTGCACAGGGAGAGGTCAGGCCCGACCAGGCCGGGCGCTGCGGGAGGGTGGAATGGCAGGGAGGGCTGCTGGCCCTGGTAGGTGGAGCCGAGCTGTCCAGGGCCGCGCTGGGGACCGAGGAGGGAGAGCCGCCTGCACCTGCCCGACGGCCCAGGTCAGCCTGAGGCTGGGCAGGCCTGCGCGGGACACCCCGTTTCCCCTCCACACAAGAGAAGCGATGCCTGGGGGTGCAGGAGGGAGCTTCCAGCCTCCTTCCCGGAGGAAGCAGGGGCCGGTGGACGGCCAAGGTCTGGGCCGTGGTCTGGCCATCACTCGCCCGTCTTTGCCTGTGCCTGATCCACCTCCCAAGCCCCCTACTCACAGGGGGTCGTGCCAGCTCTCCAGGGATGAAGGGGTGTGGAGGCGGCCTCAGCCAAGTCCTGGGGGCAGTGGTGGTGGCACCCGGGGCACCGCCCAGCCCGACGCCTGCCCGCTCGCTCTCACGCAGGCCCCGAGCGGCAGATTTGACTTTGCAGAGAGGCCCCGGGCTTTGCACCTGTGGGTCTGCAAGCTGAGCCCCCTCGGGCTTCGAGTGCCGTCCCCCAGCCCGGGTAAGCATGATCCCTTTCCGTGCCTCAGTTTCCCTCCTTGCAGTGAGCACAGGCAACCGGCTGGTGCATGGTGCCTGGCCGGACGGTGAGGACTGGCGAGGGAGCCACGTGGGAGCGTGCCGTCCCGGGCACTGCGGCTGGGGGCCGCCCCCGCCCAGCTCTGCTCACCTCTCCCGCCTTTTCTCTGGCACGAGCCGCTGAGCCGCTCCTGCCAGCCCCCCAGTCACTGCTCATTCAAAGGGAGGCCCCGTGGGAGCCAGCGTCTCGTAAGAGGCAAAGGGAGGAGCGGGGCGGAGGCGGCCCCTCCTGCTGGAGCTCGCGCTGTGCTGGCTGCGCGCACCGTGACGACATTTCCTGACTGCAGGTGCCTGCCCGCCCCGGCAAGAGGGGGCGGCGCCTTCCTGTGCCAGGCTCCCAGCAGGTGCGGCTCCACCCGGGCTGGGCCCTGGACCAGAGCAACGCCTTCTGAGCGGCAGGCCCCGGGCCCCAGCCTCGGTGGGCGACCAGCAGCGCCTGCAGATGGCCGACGCCGGCCCCTGTCCAGGCGCTGCTCTGCGGGGACGTGTGGGTGTGGCTGGGCTCACGGCAGACTCTGGGTGCACCTGTCGGGGCACGGCTCATTTCCTCCCCTGCGGGAGAGAACTCTCAGCCCTGCAGCCGGCTCCAGTCCACGCCAGGAGTCCCGGCTCCCATGAGGATTCCAGCTGGCTCGGGCAGCCAGACAGCGGCTCGGCTCAGGCTCACAACACCTGATCCTGGCTCCCCGTGGGCATGAGCTGGTGCCGGGCCCTGGGCCTGCCTGGAGCCAGGGAGGGGAGGCTCCTGCCTCTTCCCATGGCTGAGCCCACACATGGACAGCCTGGGGCAGGCGGCCACCCCTGAGGCTGAGACAGATTTCACAACCCTGCAGCCAGGACAGCCGGGGGCCCCAGAACTCCACAGCCCTGGCGGGGGGCGACTCACAGACAGAGAGGCCCCGGCCTGGCGTGAACACAGGCTCCTTACGCTTGGCAGGCCGTCCACTGCGCACTGCCCACTGCCCGGCGGCCAGGAGCGGGGCTGAGCCAGGCTGGGACCCAGGCCCGCGGCGGAGGCTCCCACAGCCCCCAGCGACCCCTCCCTGAGCCCGCAGGGCCCCCACCGCAGCCCAACCCAACCCACCCCACAGAGAAAGAGCCACACAAACTCTCCAAGAAGTCTCAGCGTTTTATTAACAAAATCTTACAAAAAAAGAGTCTGTCTGGGGGGCAAGGTAGCTGGGGCGCACGCCTGGCTGGACATTGGTGGCCTGGTCCGTGTGTGTGTGTGTGTGTGTGTGTGTGGACGTGTGTGCGTGTGGGTGTGTGGACATGTGGGGGTTGGACCACACCCTCTGAGGCCCCGGAGGGCTCCCTGCCGCCTGTGCCTGCCTAAGCATGGGTTATGGCTTCTGTGCAAAAATAAAACCCAGGCGGTTGGCAGGGGTGCAGGGTGCAGGGCCGGTCAGACGGTCCGCAGAGCTGGCCCCCGGCGCCTGCGTGGCCTGCAGACTCAAGTGGCCACCAGCACCAGGCGCGGGTGCGGGGCCACGGAGTGGAGTCCGGGCCTGGGCGGCAGCAGGGCAGGGCAGGGCAGGACGACTGCCCCAGCCCGGGGAGCAGAGGCCTGGGTGTCTCCGGGGCTGGGCTCGGGGCTTCTGGTGAGGGCAGCCTAGGGCTTGTGGAAGGCCCTGCAGCGAGCCGGGGGGCTCTGTGCGGAGGGCCGCACGGCCCAGGGCGGCTCCAGCTGCGGGGGCTCTGGGGCAGGCAGCGTGCGGCCGGCGGGGCGGGCTGAGCAGCAGGCCCTGGCCCTCGCGCCAGCCGCCTTCCTCCAGCGGCTCTCGGCTGGGCGCTGGGGACGCTGTTCTCTGCCGTGGCCGCCTCTCTGCGGCCCCCCTCTCTCTCGGCTGTCCTGGGACTTCTCTGCCCACACAGGTAGCTTGGGAGAGGCGAGGGGAGGCGGCGGCGCTAGGCTCAGCAGCAAAGACTTTGTGGGAGCCGGGAGACCTGGAGGAGGAAGAAACAGGTGGTCAGGGCAGGGCTGGGTCAGCGGCCGGGACCCACAGGGTCTGGGCAAGGACGGGCGCGGCTGCTCTCCCGGGGCGGGACCGGAGACCCAGGGATGACAGCGGGGGCCAGCCCAGGTGGGAGGGGAGGGCTCCGTTACCTGTTGCTATGCTCCTGGCTCCAAGGGCACCGGCTGCTGTCTCAGCCCCTGTGGGACCCTCCGCCTGCAGCTGAGTCATCGCCCGAGCGCTGATCCCGCTCCCGGCTGCCGTGATTCACTGCTGCTGGGGCGAGATGCACGGGTCCCGGTGAGCTGGCTCCGCGCCCTCCGCGCTGCCGCCCACTCCCGCCCCCCCACCCCGGGGGTCTCTGCTCCTGCCCCCCACCCCCTCCCTGCAGCTAACTTGCTGGGGACACCTCCAAGCCCAAATGGACCCAGGGTCTCCCAGCTCCGGGGTTGGGGCAGGGGCTCACCTGGGAGGGTCCAGGAGACACCAGGGGGTCAGGTCTGCTGCTGCTGCTGCCTGTGTGTGGCTTCAGCTCTCCCCCGGGGGGAGGGAGCCACACTGCCTGAGGCTGGCCAGCTGCCCTGGGAGGCACGGAGGGTGCCAGCTGGTTCCACGGTGGCTGCCGCGGGAGGGCGGCAATCCCGGAAGTGGAGGTTCCCTCGGTATTGATTCTGCCTTAGCTTCTGCTCCAGGGGGGCGGGAGGGAGGCCGAGAGCTTGGGGCCCCCTGGCCCGGGGCCAGCCGGGTGGTGGGTGCGTCTTGTGAGTACCCCGGGCACTGGAGCGGAGCGAGGGAGCGGCCGGATGATGCCCTGCGATGGTCGGAGAGGGTGGAGGGTGGACGCTGCCGGCCCAGGCGGGCGCAGGGCCGGCGAAGACTTGAAGGGCAGGAACTGGGCGGGCGAGAGGAGCTCCTTTATCTGGAAGGCGTGTGTCTGTGTGTGCAGGTCGGGCCCCAGGCCACGGGGTGCCCAGCTGGAGTCAGCCCCAGCTCAAGTCCTGGTTGGCAAAGGCCCGGGCCGGGCACGGCGGGCAGGCTGGGGGGAGCTCCGGCTGCCCTCTACTCGGGCTGGGTCCGGTCGCTGGCTACAGACTCGCTGGTCAGGGCGGGCGTGAGGGCCTCGGCCTCCTCCTCGGCGGCCGGCTGGGGGCTGGCCGGCTGGGCCGCCTGCTCCAGGCCGCCCTGCACCTCCAGCCCCCTCTGGATGAGCTGCTCCAGCGTCTTGGGCAGCGGGTGCCGCAGGAAGCGCTTGAGCTTGGGCTGCAGCGTGCCCACCACGTACTGGATGACCTCCTCCTCGTCGGCGTCCGCGTGGAGCGTCTGGTACAGGTCGCGCTTGCGCCACAGGAACTGATCCAGCGGCTCGCCCTGCTTCTGCGGCAGGTCCAGCTCGCGCTGGATGGCCTCGCGGGACACGGTGCCCTCGCTGTACTGCAGGAACTCCTTCTTGAACTCCACCCAGTTCTTCACCGAGCCCTGCTTGAACTCCCACCACTTCTTGGCCGGCCCGTTCATGTGGTTCTGGATCTGCGACAGCCAGTACTCCTCGGAGCCGCCCACCTGCCGCAGGTACTCCTCCAGGTGGGCCAGGAACTCCCGCGGGTCTTCGAAGATCTGCGTGTCCACGCCCGGACTCGGCTGCCCGTCCTCGCCGGGCCCCCACGGCTGGTACGGCTGGGCCTCGGCGGGCTCCTGTCCCGGCAGCTCGCCGGCCGCGGGGGGCGGGGTGATGGCGTAGGGGCTGACGGTGTAGTCGTAGCCGTCGGCCTCCTGGCAGCAGCCCTCGGGGCCGCCCACGCCCACGGACACGGTGTGGCGGGCCGGCTCGCTGCCCACCGGGTACTTGCCGCCCGAGGACTCGAGGCGGTCGGCCCACCTCTCCAGCCGGTAGAAGACTTCCCGCCACACGTGCAGCTCGCGCTTGACCCAGCGCTCCAGGTTGGCGATGGTCTCCTGGCAGCGGCACAGGCAGGCCTTGATGGACTTCTTCCAGCGCTGCGAGTCGCCGGTGGGCGCGTAGCCCTCCAGGTTGCTCTCCAGCTTGCCGACTGAGCGGTGCAGCCCCTTGAGCTCGCGCTCCACCTGCCTGGACACCTCGGTGAGCAGGTGCCGGTGGGTCCTCCGCACGTGCTCCAGCATCTCCGCGCGGCACTTACCGATCTGCAGGATCACATTGGGCTTGGCGGCCGGTGCGCCCCGCGGCCCGGGATAGGCGTGCAGGCCGCCGCTCGTCATGCGGTCCAGCTCCATCTGCGCGCAGGTGGCGGTTCGGACTCCTCTAGGCAGCGGCTCTGGGGGCGCGGGGGCCTGGGCGGCGAGCGCAGGGAGCTCTCCGCGGCTGGGAGAAGGCTGCGCACAGCTCTGCCCGCTGCAGCCGCGGCGCCCGCCTTTTATGCCGCGCGCACACGGCCGGGGGCGGCCCCCTCGCCGGGCCCGGCTCCCATTGGCGCAGCCCGGCCCCCGCCCGCGCCCCGCCCGCGCCCCGCCGCCCCGCCTCCCCGCCGCGCCGAGCGAGGACCCGCCCCCTGCACTCGCGGCTGACGAATCCCCCTCCCCGCCCGCCCACACCCGCTCGCGGCTCCCCGGGAGGACTCCGCGCTCCCCGCGCCTTCCAGCGTGCGGGCCCTGGACGCTACCGTCCCCTGTCCAGTCGGGTTTGGCAGGACAGAATCCCTCGACCCGGGCTGAGGGGCTCAGGCTGTGCCGCGCCCACACTGCCCGCCTTGCCCAAGGGCCTAGGTGACACCTGCCTGGGGGCTGCCCCAGGCCCCACACCTGCGTCCTAGCGCCTCCAGGGCAGCTGGGCGGGGGAAGCTGGTGTGGGGGGGCGGTCACCGGGCCCTCGGGCCCGTGGGCGTCGGGCCAGAACCTGCAGACATCCAGAAGGGTTGGCAGCTGCGCGGGGAGGAGGGGGGAGGAGGAGGCGGGAGCTGCAGCGCGTGCAGCCCGAGGCAGGCAAAGCAGGAGGCCATATAAGGAGTGGGGTTCCGGAAGCTGCGACTCCCTCCCAGGGGAGGCCCTGCCGCTGCCACCGTCGCAGTCGCCGGCTGGATGGGCACGGGTCTCGCCTTGGTCATAGTACCTGGCTCAGGTCACATCACCCCCTGCCCACAGCAGAGGCACAGGGACACATGGGAACAGTGACAGCCACCTGCCCGGCACACAGAGCCACACACAGCCCCCATGCACACTCACACCCCCCACTTGTACCCCTCACTCACACCCCCCACTCGTACCTATATGAACACTCACACCCCCCACTCATACCCCCTACTCTCACTCCCCACTCGTACCCATGAGTACTCATATCCCCCACTCACGCTCCCCACTTGTACCTATATGAACTCAAACCCCCCACTCGCACCCCCCACTTGTACCTATATGAGCACTCAAACCCCCCACTTGTACCTATATGAGCACTCCTACCCCCCACTTGTACCTATATGAGCACTCCTACCCCCCACTCGCACCCCCCCACTCATACCCGCCCCACACCCACACCCCCCAGCCCGCTCCCTCTGGTCGGGACTCCCGGGACAGGCAGGTGTCCAGGCCCAGCGGAATCCCTCATCCCCGCCCCTCCCCCTCTGCTTTCCCGGGGAGCCCCCCAAGCCTGTCTGTCTCCTCCTCCCCTCCCGGGGCTTCCGCCCCTCAGGGGAAAGTCTTTCTCGAAAAAACTCCCCTGGTATTTCTAATTAAAGGCCAGTGGGCGGACGGCACCACGGGGAAGGGAGGGGGTGCGGAGAAGCTGCGAGAACCTCCCGGGCCTTCCCACGGAGCGTCTCCGGGCAGGCTGGAGCCAGCTGGGCACTGACCACGCCTGCGGGTCCAGAGTGAGCCGGCAGTAGCCAGGCCACCACCCCCCAGCCCACAAGCCTGTGTGGCACTGAGGTCCCCTATCAGCTTGGCCAGGGCCTGGGTCTGCAGTAGCCTCTGGGTTCCCACCACCACCCTACCCCCCACCACTGACACCCCCACCGCCCAAGGCCTCAGGGCTTTCTGGAGTGGGGGCGGGGAGAGGCAGGCAGTGAGCCATGCCTGAAGACTGTAGCCGGGGGCTGTCGGCATGAGGTGGGCACAGGGCATCTGGGAGGCCAGCTGGAGGAGGCGGCTCCCAGGGAGCACTTGGTGAGGAGTCCAGGGTGCCGCAGCCCACTCACCACCCTCTCTCCCACCTTCTGCTAAAGGGCAGGACATGGGTGGCCCAATCCAGACCCCGTGGCCAGGAGGCAGAGCCCGGGGACAGGCCTGGGCAGAGGCAGCGGGGCTGGGTGGGGAGCAGATGGCCCCGCCCCACGTCCCTGCCCTCCCGGTCCTCTCCGCAGCCCCCGCCCTGGCGAGGTCTGCAGAGCCGCAAATGCAGGCCCCGTGGTGACAGGTGACAGGCGGCAGCCGCTGCTCTGGGAACACTTAATCGCTGCCCAATTATCGCCCCAGGAGCCCGCAACAACCCCCGCACTGGAGCCCTCGGCTCGCTTCCTCCACCCCCGGAAAAGAGGCCAGGCTGGCTCCCCACCGCCCGGACAAGGAGGGGGACGCTAATAACAGGGGCCAGCCCCCCACCCCCAGCCCCTACTGCCCATCCTCTGCCAACAGGGACAGCAGAGCTGAGCGCCCATCCCGGCACCCAGCCTCACCCAGAGCAGGACACCGACAGCCCCGGGATGCAGTGGAGGGGGCCAGGGTGACGGGGAGGGGGGGACTGGCGGGGAGGGGGGAGAGACGGGGGCTTTGGCCTGTGCAAGGAGCGGGGGAGGCCCCAGGACACCCCCCCAGAACCAAGCTGGGCTGACAGTTGCCTGAGTGGGACCAGGCTCTGCGGGGGGAGGGGGCGAGCAGCGGAGGTGACCCACGGGAAGCCCCCCCCAGGTCCCCCAGTTCTGGCTGCTTCAGCCGCAGGGCTCCTGGCTCCCAGAGATGAGGTTTCCCTCCTAAAGCCCCACCCCAGCCACAGCTCTCTAACCCCAGCCCAGCCCTGGAGACAGAGCCCCCCTCCCACCTTGGGACGGCCCTGTGACCACGCCCTCCGCACCTGCCTCTGGGGACCCCCGAGTGCTGGCTCCTGAGCCCCTGTGTGTGGGTTCTTAGTGAGGCAGGCGCTACCTTGTCCCTTGAGCCACCCTCCCTACTCCTCACACCCCCAGGCTCCTGAATGGCCCCTCCCGGGGCGCCTGGCTGGGCCGGACTCTGTGGGCAGGGCCTCTCCCTCCAGCCGGCGCCCTCTCCCAGCTGACCCTGCTGCCTGGACTTGGCACCACGTGGCCGCTGAGGGCAGGGCCCAGGCTGGCACACACACACGTGTTACACACCCACACGTGTGCACACACACGCACCTGTCCACACACTTGTCCTGCTCCGGGACTCTTGCAGCGCTGGCCATGGGCCCTGCCTTGCAGGGACAGCAGGGAGCAGGTGTGTCTGAGGCCTCTGGGGGTCGGTGTGGGGGGACGCAGCCCCCATCCCTGCTCCAGCTGAAGTGTGCGACTTCCTGTCCACTCCCTGGTCCTCCACACTCGACCACCCCCCACCCATGAGGCCTCTTTCCATCGCTCTGCACAGCCCAGAGAGGATGGGCCGTGTCCCGGTCGACAGTGTCGGGTGGATAACATCCCGTGGACAGCCTCCAGCCCGTGCCCGTTACGCAGTGTGCACGCGGGGGTCCCAGGGCCTCAAAGCCGTACCGGGCACCCAGGCTGAGGTCCACCTGAGGGTGCCTGTCCAGGGGAAGGCATCGCACCTGTGTGCTCGCGGCCACGGTGCCCAAGCCTGGCACAGGGTCTGACCCGGAGACGAGGGGGCTCTCCCCACCCTTTCCAGCGCAGCGCCATTGGCCGCCACCACCCAAGCCTCGACTTTCCATCTGTGAAGTAGGAGGGTAGTGCCAGGGTCTGGGCGCCCCCCAGGGCTGAGCGATGTCAGAGAACTCCTGGGGACCCATGAGCCCATCCCTGCGCCCTGCCCCCGCCAGCCTGATGGTCAGCCCCACGGCCGGGACGCCTTGCGGGGGGGCTAGCTGCCTCGCCCTGTCCACCTCCTCTGCCCCCAAGGCCACCACCCAGAAAACCCTCCTGGTACTGCGCTGGGGGTCCCCGTGCTGTGTGGGTGACCTGGCCCCCGCCACCCCACACTGCCCACACCTGCACCCCTCCCTTGAGGACCCAACAGCCGGGGGTGAGGGTCCCCGGGGGCGCACTGTGGGTGGGTGCTGGTGCTGGGGCGTGGAGACTGGACAGCGAGAGGAGAGAGCAGGACCGACCGGCCACTCGCGTGGACCCCTCTCCCTGCTCTTCACAAGGAGTGGGGGAGGGGAGCCCTGCCCGCCCAGCCCCCCCCCCACAGGGTCCCTGAGCCACCAGTGACCCCGGCTGATCCCTGCCTGGTGAGCCACAGCCACGGCAGGACTGGGGGTCCCAGGAGACCCCCTTAGTGCCGGGCCCAGCTCCCGGGGTGACGCCAGGGCCAGGAGACGCAGGAGACACACTGGGGCGTGGGGTGGGCCCAAGGCGCAGGTGCAGGGGACCTAGGCCAGTGGGCGCAGGGCTGGGGGAGGGACTCAGCCCCCCCACTCCTCCCCAGGCCTCTTGGGAGCTGCAGGAACATTTTCTCCCGGGCCCTTCCTTCCTTCCTGTTCCCCCGTCTGGCAGGCTCTGTGCTGCTGCCTCCCCGTCCCCGGAACAGGCAGCTCCTTCCTGGGCCCCCACATGGCACAGGCCCCCTCCCCCGTCCCCTCCCTCCTCCCTCCTCCCCACTCCCCCTGACCTCCGACCCCCCTCCCCTTCCCCTTCCCCCTCCTTCCTCCCCATCCCCTTCTCCCTCCTCCCTCCTCCCCTCCCTTCTCCCTCCTCTCCTCCCCCTCCCTCCTCCCTGCTCCCTCCTCCCCTCTCCATCCTCTCTCCTCCCCCTTCCTCACCCCCTTTCTCCTTCCCCTCCCTTCTCCCCCCTCCTCCCCTTTCCCTCCTCCCTCCTCCTCCCTTCTCTCTCTCCTCATCCCCCTCTCCTCCCCTCTACCCCTCCTCCCCTCTCCCTCCTCCTTCCTGCCTCCTGCCTCAGTGCCTCTGGTCCAGCCTCCAAGGAAAGTTCTGTATTTTTCCAATGATCCCAGCACCACTGTGCAGGGACAGGAGGCTCATGGGAGCCCGGGAGGGGACAGAGGACCAGGGGGTGCGAGAGCCCGGCCCCAGGGACGGGGGTTCCTGAGCTCCCCCACCTGTAGCCATTGCACAGGAGAGGAGACGGAGGCGAGAGGGGTCACTCAGCCAGAAAGGCCAGAGCCAGTGCATGTGCCTGTGCGTGCACACACGTGTGTGCGCGTGCATGTGTGGTAGGGGTGGGGCTCCAGCCCTTGGCCCCTGGACACCCTCCTATCCCACATGACCACCCCTGAGGCCCCA